ATAATGTGCCTTCGCACCCCAAGTTGCCTTGCCCGATTATGCATGATGTAAAACAAAATCGGCCTCCATTGTGCCCAAGGGCGGATCCAAAGGGAGGCTACCGGGGCTACAACCCCTCCTAGTGAGCCTGATTTCTTCGTTAGACCACGGTTACTTAGCCTCAAATCACCATTAATCTCTAGCCCTAGCCCTAAATCTTCATTATTTAGCCCCCTTGTTCCCATCCTGCATCCGCCACCTGTGGCCGCGTGCCCCATAACCCGCTGTGGAATTCAGCTGTAGCGATGTTGTTGTCCCCATGTGCGGTCCTCATTTGCACTAATTTGGTTTTAGTAATTGAGTAACAACCTTAAGCAGACTAATATATTTCATTTGAGATGAATATGTAGTCTATAGGTACACTACATTGAGCAAGACATAGAGTCATGGTGGAGAGGTGGCTTTGACATGTTATAATAGTGCTCAACTAGTGAGGTTGAAGGAGCAAGACATGAGAGTGTCATATGTATGGTGATGAGGACATCACTCCTTCAAATGCACCCACTAAACCTCCAACCGCTAAGCAAGGACTAATGGCTAGATCTCGAATGTGACAATTAAATCTATAGGTGAGCTTGTTCTTAAGCGATCCTTTTCATAGTTTTGATAATACATTGCTACATAATGGTTTAGGAATATTGTAGAGGATCATGAAATACTTGAAGTGTGGAGGCGGAGGAGACCGTCAAGGATGTACAAGTCAACCCGGAGGCCTAGTCCAATTCGAGGTCAAGTCCGCCTCGGCCTCTAGGAGCAACCTATAGTAAAACAGACGCATACATACTTCGTTTTTGATGATCCACCTATGCATGGAAATATAATTTCATAAGCTAACCATGCCATTGGTTTCACGTCAGAATTCCATATGAGTCAACTAAAATCATTGAAACAAGTCAGCATCCTGAATCTGCCAGGGTGCTTTACTGCCATCTTTTAGACCGTTGGGCCGTGTATAGTCTTACAGCCCACTCGGGGGTGCATCCAGGGGTTGCGCTTGCCCAAAAGAAATCGTAATGAGTCATCACCACCCATGTTAGGTTTTGGGTTTTGCTTTAGATCAATATGTCTTCGAACAGTCACCGTTATTCATTGTGAAACTCCAACTTAATTTGAGTGCTTTATAATACATCTATAATTGTCACTTCAATTGAGTTGAGTTCTTTGTTGTGTTTTTCGTTTCGTAGGCAGAGAGTAGCCTTCTCAGCAAGGTCAACCGGATTATGACACGGTCGATAACTAGAGGAGACATTGTGCTAAGGTTGCAGGGTTTGGGTCTTTTGATCTAAAACTAGAACGGTGTGTCGCTCTCCAACCAAAATGATAGTTATCTCCACCCAACAAAGATCAGCAATCCATCCCCATTAAGTGGTAATCAGAGATTCAAGTGATACCTCAGGTTCGCATCTTATAGTAGTTCGAGTGTTGTTGCCTTCATCGCATAGTCCACTGCCATATTCGTTTTCCTATCCTAGAATCTTCGGTGCCATAGCCTTTGTATAATTTAGTTTCAGACTCCGTTGTGTTAACTTTATGTCCTAGGTCAAAGTCTTGTTGCTGGTTAGATTGTGTTTGAATCCAGTTATATCATTTCCCCCACCATTTCCATCAAACCCTAGCTACCACCACCAATTTCCCACACTTTCTTCCCATTTTGCCACACGTTCATGAAAACAACCATAACTTTTGTATGGACTCAAAATAAGGCAAACTATATGTTTCAAAATCAGAATTTTCTTTTCGCATTAATCTGTCTCTGCCCTTGGCGGATTTGGTGATTTTTTTCGTAAAACAGTTGAAAGATCGTACTTCCGAGACCAAAAGATTTTAAGTCGCTTTTGAGTGCACCTTTCTGAATATTGCACGGACCACATCTTTCACTTGTTTGAGATCAAATTGTCTATGGTTGGTCCTTGTGTACTCCTAAGTCAACAAAATATCAAAAAAAATCAAAAAAATCAAAATTTCCCTAAAAACATTGATATAAAAAAAGAGAAGGGCAAAAGAGGAATAGAAGAGGTGCACATAGAGAACCCCAAGATAAGTTGTGTGGCGCGTGCTGTCTTGTGCTTTGTTTCTTACTCTTTTTGCCTATCATATTTATTCCATTGTCTTGTTTGTCACACTTGAAACTTGGAACACCTTTTGGCATGTAACGAGAACAGGTATTTGGGACTATAATTCAGCATTGGTTTCTATTACTGACTTGTGTGCCACATATACATATTTTCTCTTTGTGTGTCTTTCAAGCTTCACATATTTTTCCAAATCAGTATAGAAAATGACTCTTGCAATCTCGGCGCCACTTCCTCACAAGTATCACAAACCAGCCGCTGGTTGTACCATTCACTGTTTTGTGTTGATAATAACTTGGTAAGATGTGTGTGAGAATGTGATTCCACCGACCCATAAATAGTTGATATAGCATTATATTTTTATAACTAACTATGCTAGGCGACGTGCTTGTTATGAAAAGTCAATCGCAGGATCTGAAGGAGATACTAGCAGAGGCGACCAAGGTAGTCAAAGCCACCATGGGCAACTTCACCCATACGCTTGAGAGCATGGACAAGCGAGTGTCCACACTGACCGAGAGGATCGATCCGCTTGAGACCAACCGCCCAAAGACCAATGATGCGAACAAAGGAGGAAGAAGTTGAGATCCTCGACGATGATTTTGTGTACAGAGACGATGGCGACAATGATGAAAGGGCGACACGCGAGCGTACCATGCGTCGACGTCTTCAACGCAATCATATAGGTACGGGAGGTAATGTTATTAACGACAATAATTGCAATCGTGGTAATGCTAATAATAATGATCCTTACGCTAAAATTAAATTCACCATAACTTCTTTCCATGGTAAGTGTGATGCTGAAGAATATCTTGATGGGCATATGACGGTAGAACAAAAATTCGCTTCCCAGATTGTTTCTAATCATTATAAGCTTAGACAAGCTACCAGTGAGTTTAAAGATTTTGCTATAATCTGGTGGCAAGAATCAGCTAATTTGCATCTACAACCTGAGTCATGAAAAGATTAAAAAAATAATGCATGATAGATTTATTTCTCGTTACAAACGTGATTTATGTAAGAAATTACAGCGGCCTGCCTTTTCTAGTTCTTAATTCAGTCGCTCGCCCTACAACCATCTCACCCGTGCACCCCACGTCTTCTCCTTCTCAGTTTCTCTCGTTTGTCCTCATCTTGGCGTCCTATTGGGACCACTAGGCACCGGCTCGATCTATCTCTGCAACATTGCCATTTCGCGAGATTGCTACCGTGCTACGCACCTGTGGTGATGCACTCATGCACCCTGTGGAGATGCGTGCATGATTGTTCACTCTCATGGTGAACGCAGCATTAATTGTAGTGGAGGGCTCCATGACGGCATGACCGGCTTGGATTAAGTTGTGGTGGAGGAGGCGAGGAGGAGCATCTGCTACGCTCGATCTTGACAGAGGGAGATTGGAATTGATGGCGCCTGCTCTTTTCTGTGTCTGGGAAGGAGATGAACATGGAAGGGGAATCAAGAGAGGAAAGAAGAAACTGAGAACTGCTAGTCCCTGCTTTGTTTTGGTGCCAATGAGAATGATTAGAGGGGTTTAGTTTTCTATTGGTGATGGCAATTTGGAGATGGACACGATATTGAGGGATAATAGACAGGAGGTGCTGAAGCTGCTGGATTGCTGTGCTTGGTGGAGAAAACCAGAGGTATAAGCTGTTGAACTGAGGAATCCAAGAGCTATATTTCATAGAGTAGCTGATGGTGGTGCTATGCATTAAATTTTGGGATACAGTTGCTTTGAATTTTGGAGAACAGACGAAGGCTTGTGCAGTTCTAGCTTGGTGTGAGCAAGAAGCAGGGAAGAAAGGAGTTTGGGAGAGAAGGTGTCGCTGCTACGGTTGCTTTGCTACTTCGCTTCCAAAGTTGATAAGCTATTTGTCGATACTAGGTCAGCGTGACTACTACTATAAATTGAAAAAAAATGTCCATTGCATGTTCTCTAAAATTTTTGTTTCTAATAGCAATAACCATTTAAGATATATCTTTCAATCTAATATGCTCAAACTTGCTGCTTCCGTGTAATTCATTGGATATATCTCTTTCAGTGAAATGCTTATTGCCTGGATAATCTAACAATAATGAGTACTAAAAATTTGAGACAATAGATGTACACACATCCTATATCTCAGTCGCATGAGAACAAGGAGACGCTCAGGCAACGCGATTTTAGGTGCCCCACGCCTGACCGGTGCCATGCACGCGGCTAGGGTTCCGGGGGGAGGCAAGCCCTCTCTCTCCACCTCAGTCGCATGAGCTGGAGAAGAAAGTGGCGGGGGGAGGAGGGGAGGGGAAGAGGGAAGCCGCCGCGGGCACGGTAGGGTCTCGCCAGAGCTCCGCCGCCGTGGGTGGGCAGCGGTGGGGGAGCGGGCGGGAGTCAGGACGCGGTTGGAAGAAATACCGAAGAAGATGAACAAAGATTGCATCAACTGCGGATGTTTGGATCTTGATCCAACGGCTCAGATCCGTCGCCTGGAAAAAAAAAAATCAGGCGCCTAATATATAGCAATTCCCATGGATGTAACAAAGGCAGGATTCATCTGTCGGTGAAAATGAATGCTGGCCAGATGAGTTTCGAAAGCAAACATGCCTATACTGCTCAGGAGGATTTGAATTGTTGAAAGCATTTCAAAAAGATTGACTTCAAGAAAAAAAAAAACAGTGAGTTATGTTATCCTTTTTCCTTTAACAGAGCAACGCACGAGTATTTTTAAGAATAGAAATTGCTTAAACAGGCCCTCTCTATTTAACTACTGTACTATATTATTACTAACCTCTATCTTATCCAAGATTGCAATTCAGTCGGCCATGAAAATTTGTTACAAATCAGAAGTTCAGAACAAAAACAACCCAGGGATCGAAGGACAAGAAGATTCAGGCAGATACAAGAGAATCTGCTAGGGGCCCGAACTGCCTGCACCATCATCGCCTTGAACGCCGCCGTCGTGGTTTGTAGACGGCCAGAGCCTCAGCTGCACAAGCGATTCATCGGTGCCGTAATCCACATCCATCGCCGCTGCCTCGCTCGCATTGTTGCCCCTGACGAGATCCCCTGCCACCAGCGGAAACAGCTTCAGGCACTCGCCGCTCAGATCAACCCCGGGCGGCGGGTGGCGGAGCATGATGGCACCAAAGGAAACAGAACCAACGTCCCGTCGGCGAGGCGGTACTGGATGGGTGCAGCCGCCCGCTGCTGCTGCTACACCTTGCCGAGGACGGAGTGCCAGCGGTTCTTGATGGCGTTGTCGGTGCGGCCCGGGAGGAAGCCCGCGATGGTGGCCCACTTGTTGGGGTACTTGAGGTAGTACGCGATGATCTTCTCGTCCTCCTGCGGGGTGAAGGGCCTGGCGGTGTCGACGACGGGGCTCAGGTGCTGGCACCAGAGCGTAGGCGGCACGACTTGGGGTTGCGCCCGGGCAGCGCCTCGCTGATGGCCGCCCAGTTCCGCGGGCCGTGCAGCCGCACCTGCTCCCGCAGCACGGCGTCCTCCTCCTTGGTCCTCGCCGACTTGTTCATCGCCACCGGCACCGGCACCGGCACCGGCACCGGCCTGCCGTCGTCGGCCGCCGCCTCGTCCGGCACCGCCATCGGATTTCGATCGCCCTCTTCCTCGCGTCTCGTTTCTTGCAGAGGAGAAGAAGGCTGCGCGCGAGCCGTCCGTCCGTGCCGTGTCCGTGTGGGAGTGGATGCGGTTGGTTGGGTGCCGCGGCCGCCGCGGCGGGTTGCCTTTTATGGTAGGCTGCGGCCAGGTGACCTACGGAGTTCGCTGGATCGGCCGAAGGAACGAGCTCGAGTTCGATACGGGAAAGAGGGTGGCGGCGAGGGAGGGGAGTCCGACCTGACCATGGCCGGACAGGATTCGCCACGCGCACGGCTTGATTTCTTTCCTTTCTCTCCCTCCCAAATCGACTGGTTTCCTTTTCAAAAAAATCGACCGACCGACTCGTTTCCTAGACTCGATTTGGCAAAAGGATATAGTAATTCGGTGTCCAGAGATATCGCTAAACGACCAGAAATCATCTGGTATTAATTTCGTACTGTACAATGAACCGCAAGGTCCTTAGGATCTTCTCGATTCTAACATCAAAATTTATCAACCACTCTATATCCATATCTATGAACGCGAATTTCTTCTAAAATATATATTCTTGGAATCCTTTATATCCTTACGATTTTTTTAATGTATTTAGATACAGATATGCACGTATAACCTACACATTTTCAAACAAAGAGTTATTCATGCTTGTAGTTTTTAAGATTTGAAACCAAATCTTGTTCTAAACACATGGTTTTATGTCTAGAGGGAGTATTTAAAAATGAGTAATATGTAAGAGCAGTTATGTTTTTATCAGTTTATTATCTTGAAGTCACTCGCTCTGTATATATAAAACAACATAACTAATTAAAGCAAATCCACTGTAGCAAAATTGACTTGATTACAAACAGTAGAACATGGCTATTTGGATTTGAGTTTTGATTTTGTATATATGGTACTCATTTACATTAATTATTTATTTTTTAATGATATATTCGGTATGTCCATTAATATTAAGTCATGCATGGTTATTTCGTCAACCATAACATTTGTTGGTCTAAGCCTCTTGGACACTTTCATAAGGATAGAGTGTGTATGTGGAGCATCTGTATTTATACCTTGTCTTGAAAAAAAATGTAACCATAAAATGGCTAGCTTAACAGCCAAATGGCTTGTTTTCCAGCCGTTCGAAACTAGCCGTCAGGGGCATTTGGTGCAGGAGTTGGTGTGCCCGCAGAGTGCTGCTCTAAAGGGTAACAATTGGATTTTTTGGTGGGCTTATAAACAACCCTTGTTGTTGGTCTTGGCCATTCTCTTGTGCACACCCTTTGAGAGCTGAGAAACACACTCCACTCACTTACACCCTTTCAATTCACTTTTTGGTGAGGTTGGAGAGCCTCTAGTGCATTTACATCATCGATTTGAATCTCGTGGCACTAGTTGAGCGTGGCGGCTAGTTTGGTTCTTGTTACTCTTGGTGATTGTCGTTACCTACACGGATTGGAGCTGGAGGGATCGTTGAAGGGCTATGAGTGATTGTTGTCACCTCTAATTGAACAATTATAGGGGTTGTTGTGCTTTTCCTTCGGGAGATTGCGAAGAGCAACTCTAATGGAATGCTTGTGGCTAGTTGGAGTGGATCACTTGATTGATTTTTGTGCCTAAGTCGTGGGTCTAGCTTGTCACGCTAGTTAGCGTGCGAATCATCATTTGGGGACTTGCCAATGAGAACATAGGTTTCCGACAAAGCAACCGAACTCCGGGGATAAATTTTCTGTTCATCTCTTGTCCTTGATGGTTGGCAAGCTACACCCTTGCTCTTACTTTCATATCTTGTGTTTGGTTGTGTAGTGGTTGCTTGTTTAGCTCACGAGGGTAGAGTAGTTGTAGTTGTAGATGCTTCTAGTTGTCAGTAGCTCTCTAGTTTAGCTAGTGTTCTTGTAGTTTGTATGGTGTTATGCTCTAGTGTAGAAACCAAAGCTACTAGAATGTGTAGGGTTTGCATTGAGTGAAATTAGAGCTAATGCAAAGTAATTGCTATTAGGGCCTCTTTTTGTGCTCATCAACTTTTGCACTAGTATTGTTTTGTAGAGAAATTTTTAAAGCTATTCAACCCCTCTAGCCATCTAGATCCTATCAATAGTCTCCCATGGTTTCCAACTGCTCCGTTGTGCATGAAGACAATGTTTCTAACGTAGAAATGATTTCTACGTTTTTTTGCTCTCTCTCCTCGTTAAATTGTTTGCTAAGTCAGCAAAATACCTATGTGGTAAGATAATTAATTGGGATACAAACCATGTTTATTTCTGAATTAGGAGTGCCCTTACCAGCTTTCTCTTAAAATGCCCCCCACATCCAATCCAAATGCGATTGGTAACACCAGACACTCATGGAAATAATATTTTTAGCTGGTAGGAACACAATTAAATAAAGAGTTTTGCTCTAGTGGTTACACAAATCTTAAAGCACCTTGGTGATTAATTATAATTATTTTTGTTTTGGATCTGGAATAGGATGGCTCTGCCCATGTCCAACCCAAGCCTAGCAGCTGCTCACTCAGGGTGTGGACGTAGTGGGGCGATGGGCGAGGGACGGTGGAGGCATCACACGAAGGGACAGTCTCGGCAGCTGCGGTGCCCGGAGGGGCGCGGAGGGATGCTTGGCGAGACAGAGGCCGGCGATAGCGCCGGCATGGAGGCAGCGGCCTGCAATTACTGCAGAACAGACAAACGCCCAATTTGTGCCAGAACAGATGAAAGGTCCTAATGGCTAGAGGGGGGGTGAATAGCCTAATAAAAATCTACAACAACACTTAACAAAATGTGTTAGACAATTTTGCGGCGAAGCGAGTGTTGCGCTAGCCTACTAAAATGCAAGCCACCTACCACAATTCTATTTCGAATAGTGTATATCCACACAATAGCTATGACACTTAGCTAAATTAGTGTGCTCTCAAAGACTAACTAAAGAGCAACACTAATCAAACAAACAAGCTCTCACAACTAGCTACACTAAAGAACTTGATAACTAGTTTGCGGTAATGTAAGAGTGAGCAAGGGAGTTATACCGCCGTGTAGTGGTAGGAACCAATCAATCACAATAATGAATACCAATGTAGACCAATCACCTCGGAATCAAATGATGAACACAATAATTTTTACCGAGGTTCACTTGCTTGCCGGCAAGCTAGTCCTTGTTGTGGCGATTCACACACTTGGAGGTTCATGCGCTGATTGGCATCACTCGCTAAACCCTCAATAGGGTGCCGCACAACCAACACAAGATGAGGATCACACAAGCCACAAGCAATTTACTAGAGTACCTTTTGGCGCTCCGCTGGGGAAAGGTCAAGAACCCCTCACAATCACCACGATCGGAGTCGGAGACAATCACCTCCTCCACTCAACGATCCTTGCTGCTCCAAGCCGTCTAGGTGGCGGCAACCACCAAGAGTAACAAGCAAAATCCACAGCGAAACACAATCACCAAGTGCCTCTAGATGCAATCACTCAAGCAATGCACTTGGATTCACTCCCAATCTCACTATGATGATGAATCAATGATGTAGATGAGTGGGAGGGCTTTGGCTAAGCTCACAAGTATGCTATGTCAATAGAAATGGCAAAAAGTGCGAGCTTGAGCCGGCCATGGGGCTATAAATAGAGCCCTAGAGAAATAGAGCCGTTGTACCCCTTCACTGGGCACAACGCGGGGTGACCGGACGCTCCGGTCCGATCGACCGGACGCTGGCCCTCAGCGTCCGGTCACGTGATTCACGCCACGTGTCCCCTGCTTCAAATGCTGTTCGTCAAATTTCAACGGTCGCGAAGCTGACCGGACGCTCCGGTAAAACTGACCGGACGCTGAAGCCCCAGCGTCCGGTCATTTCTAGTAAGCTCCCCGAGGCATGATTTTTCGACCGGACGCGTCCGGTCCACCTTGACCGGACGCAGCCCGGCGTCGGTGCTCAACCCTAGCCACTGTGCCGTCTGACAGCTCGACCGGACGCAGCCTTTCAGCGTCCGGTCGCTGAGTGACCCAGCGTCCGGTCAGTAGACCGACGCCAGCATCATTTCGATCAACTCCATTTCAACTCTTACTTCTTCACCCTTCTCATCTCAACCCTACAAACACCTTGTGCACATGTGGTAGCATATTTACACAAATATTATCAAGGGTGTTAGCACTCCACTAGATCCTAAATGCATATGCAATAAGTTAGAGCATCTAGTGGCACTTTGATAACCGTATTCCAATACGAGTTTCACCCCTCTTAATAGTACGACTATCAAACCTAAATGTGATCACACTCTCTAAGTGTCTTGATCACCAAAATAAAATAGCTCCTACAAGTTATACCTTTGCCTTGAGCTTTTTGTTTTTCTCTTTCTTCTCTTCAAGTTTAAGCCCTTGATCATCTCCATGCTATCACCATTGTCATGTTATGATCTTCATTTGCTTCTCTACTTGAAGTGTGCTACCTATCTCATGATCACTTGATGAACTAGGTTAGCACTTAGGGTTTCATCAATTTACCAAAACCAAACTAGAGCTTTCAACAGACCAACATCCAATTTGTGCCAGACTTCATCACAGACCAGCGTCCAGATAGGCACATTCGTGTCAGTACTCAGGAGTTTCACCTATGATGAGGTTTGTGTGTGGCGACACATGGCTTGGAACCAGACCATTTTCTAGGGGTGGGTTCGACAAAGTGTAGGGCCTTCTTGATAGCACCAATTAGGTTGGTTCACTAACTCTGCTCAATGATGGTTGAAGATATGTTTGTGTGCTAAATCATATGGTTCGTTGTTACTATTTCGGTATGGATAGGGCCAATGAAAGGTCCTTGTGTGGTTTTGGTAATTGAGTGACAACCTAGGTGGACTAATTGTGTTTATGTGAGATACACATGCGATTAGCCCACAGGTATATGTGTGTGAGCAACATATGCCATGAAGGTGGAAATGGCTCAGAGATGTTGCAAAGCTCACACATGTGATGATAAAGGATCTCATTGCACATGAGATATGACATTGGTTGAGTCATGTGATCAAAATGGAGAAGATTAAGACATGAGTTGGCTTGATGGACTGGTTGCAAGCGTGAAGGGCAAGTTAGAGGCTTTAGAGCGATGGACCGCATGGCGGTGAAGCTTGAGCAAAACTTGGCGCCAATGGACAAAGACAACAGTGAAAAGCAAGTGACGTCAAGATTGATAAACCAATACGGTCACGTGATGATATGAAGTGGATCATATCAATTGGTGATTGGTTGGTGCATGTGTTGCATCAACAATGGAGGAGATGAAATGGAATGAGCAAGGCAAAGGTATAACCTTGGGCATTTCATTTCACCGGTCATAGGTGTGTAGAGAAGTTGATGACCGGGCTTAGGATCGATGGTCATACTATCAAGAGGGGTAAACTTGTTTGCATATCGGTCATCTAGTGCCACTCGAGTGATCTAACTTTGCATCGTCGCTAGGATCGAGTGGCATGGCAAGTTGAGTGGCTAATCCTTTGTAAAATGTTTGTGAAAAGCTAATACGCGTGTACAAGGTGTTGTACACTTGGTGGTGTTGGCACATTTACAAAGGAGAAGAAGTTGGTGAAGAGAAGGAGTTGAATGCGCTGATCACGGGGTGACCGGACGCATCCGGTATTTCCCGACGTGACCGGACGCGTCCGATATCTATATCGGACGCATCCGGTATTCTGGCCAGGCATGGGCAGAGTTGCAGAGGTGACCGGACTCTGGCTCGTAGCAGTGATCAGACGCTGAGCAATCACTATTTAGCGTCAGGTCGTGGTGACATGGGGTGCGGGTGTAGGTCCAGAGAGGACCGGGCATAGGGGCGTGTCCGGTCGGCCACACCGGACGCATCCGGTCGCAGTTGAGTAGCTCTGGGAGCTCTCTAGACTCGACAAGATGCTGGCCCTCCTGCGTTCGGTCGATCACACCGGACGCATCCGATCGGTCACATCGGAAGCGTCCGGTCGCAGTTGAGCAGCTCTCTGAGCTCTTTGGACTCGACCAAACGATGGCCCTCCTGCATTTGGTCGGACACACCGGACATGTACGATCGCAGTTGGGAGGTAACGGCTACTTTGTTTGAATGGGACACGTGGTGGTCAAGCAATGACCGGACGCAGCAACTAGACGCGTCTGGTCGCCACACCGGACACGTCCGGTGCACACGACCTGCGCATCCGGTCGTCCTGAAAACGCCCAGTGAAGGGGTAACGGTTATTTTAACCCGTGGGGCTATAAATAGAAGTGTTGGTCGGCCTTTGGCCGTAAGCTTAGAAGAGCTGAGCACACTAGAGCCTTGGTAGATTATGTGGTGGTGCTTGGGAGCACTCTAACTCACTATAACTTGATAGTGTTCATCCGATTGAGTGAGTGAGCGATTCTAGTGCGATTGCATCGTGAGGTTGCATCAAGTGGCACTAGGTGGTCGTCTTATAAGCCGGTGATGCTTGTTACTCTTGGAGGTTGCCACCTCCTAGATGGCTTGGTGGTGGTCTCTGTCGAAGCCCGCAAGAAGCTTATGTGGTGCTCCGAAGAAGAGCTTTGTGAGGGACATTGTGCTCGCCCGCAGGAGACACGAAGAGCAACTCTAGCTGAACGTGTCATTGAGCTACCCTCACTTTTGGGGTAGGTTCTTGCAATGCCCGACGTGCAGGCTTGGCGGGTGATGCCAATTAGCCGCCGAACCACCAAGTGTGCGGTCGACACAACGGGGACGTAGCGTGTTGGCAAGCACGTGAACCTCGGGAGAAAATCACCGTGTCAACGTTGTTCTTCCCATTGGTTTGCAATCCCCTTACACAAGCTTGTAATTACTTTCATATACATTGTGCTTGTGTAATTGCTCTTGTAATTAGTTAGCTTGTATAGCTCACTAGTTACCTTCTTGCTTGTGTAGTATAGAAGTAGCTCCCTTGCGTGGCTAATTTGGTTTGTGTAACCTTGTTAGTCACATAATTTAGTTTATGTAAGCTAAGTATTTGCGCTTCCTAATTTGACATTGGTTGCCTTGTTATTGAGCATTGCTAGTGAGCTTAGTTGATTTTGTGCTTTTACTTACTAGCATGTGTAGGAGCTCCCTCGTTGCTTGAAATACTAGTGGCATAGGTTTGTGTGACCTTACTCCTAGAATTGAATAGGTGAGCTCTAGCTAACCCGACATCTTTGTTGTCTAATTCGGATCTTTATAAGGTGTTTGTCAACTTCGATAGAGGGGTGTAGTCTTGGTTAGACCGATTGTTTTAATTCCGCATTTGTTTCGGTTAGCCGGTGTGATTCAATTTAGGAAGGACTATTCACCCCTCTCTAGTCCGCCATCTCGACCCTACAGCCGGCCCAGTATAGATCCAAAACAAAATGAATTATAATTAATAACAACTTTTTAAAGAGGACCACTAGAGAGAAACTCATAAATATATCGTATATTATTGACGTACATGTTGCATAGAATGAATTCAATGAAATTGGCATAAAATAAAGTTTCAAATTTGGCTTAAAACTTTTAATGTTTGAAAAATCTTTATAAAGACAGCTGATAACATGAGCTTTCTCTTATAATCGATTCTACAAGCGGGTGATATTTCATACTGTTAATAGAAATTGAAGGCGGATAATGCCAACCGTCCCTAGAAACCGATTTCCAAGAACGGTGGGATACCTGCGGCTAAAGATGCTCTATTTCTAGAGACCCTTGCTCACAAGTAGTTGGAGTATCAAGTAACCACCTATAGAAATTGATTTTAATTGTGATTGAAAATCGGTTCCATAGTAGTGTTCTGAGGTGACAATATTTTTTATAGCGACATATTTGCCTTTGAACATTGTTCAATGTAATATATAAGCTCTGCCCTTGGTCCGAGATATATGGAATTGGCCAAGCATTTTTGGTGGTGAAGTTAGGGCAGATGATCAACATAGCCTAATTGATATATTTATATTTTCCTAAACAAACTCCCGCGCCCTTAAAAATTCAGACATTAGTTTTAGTTTGTTTTAAGTTAAATTTCTCTAATTTAGATGGTGCTTTTATAAAAAGGTATAAGCATCTACCGCCAAATTAATTTCAATAAATTCATCGCAAAATGTATTGCGTGCATTTTTTTGTTATCCTTAATCTTAATATATTTCTGTACAAACAGAGTTCAAACTGATGATAAACATAGTTTTGACTTAAGATAAAATTAGTTTTAGAACCGATTGAGTACAAGTTACAGAATATATAGCCCCTGTACTCTGCAATGGTAAATATAAAAAAAAAAACACTCCGGGAAACAATGTGGACCGCAAAAAGTTTCTGCAAAATCCGAGAGTAGACACCATCTCAAGCTATTTTTGGGGCCAAGCTCCATCACCAACCAAACACAACCGCTTCGCTTCTTTAACTTGCGTCTTGCAGATGTTTTCGTTGTCGAGGGAATACGCACGTCGTCCTACAACCTTTCTCCCTCCTCCACCTGTCTACCTTTTCTTGCCACGGCAAAAACATCGCCGGCGCGCTTGGCAATGGCGTACCGTGTCCTGGAGGTCACCCTGGTCTCGGCAAATGACCTCAAGAGAGTGTCGCTCTTCTCCCGGCCGCGTATCTACGCCGTCGCTTCCATTTCCGGGTTCGACCTCCGCATGCCTAGCCACAGCACCCAGGCAGACCAGACCAACGGCTGCAACCCCGCCTGGAACGCCGTGGCACACTTCCCCATCCCGGCTGCCGCTGACACCCGCGGCCTCGCACTCCACGTGAGGCTCCTCGCCCAGCGTGTTTACCTGGGCGACCGAGACATTGGCGAGGTGTTCGTGCCCATCGACGACCTCCTGGCCGGCGCCGACAAGGGTGGCGATCCGAGGCCCGTGAGCTACCAAGTGCGCAGGCCGCACTCTGGCCGCGCCCACGGCGTCCTCTACTTCTGCTATAAGTTCACCGACGTCCCCGCCGCCGCGTGTGTCCCGGAACCGGAAGGCAAACAAGGCCAGTACGCCAAGTACGTGCAGGACTCCGAGAACACGACGGACAAGATGATGGTGCCGCCCACCGTGTACCCACCGCCGCAGGCCATGTCGTCCGCGTACCCACCGCCGCAATATGGCTCGCCGTACGCGGCGTACCCACCGCAGCCTTACGCGTACGCTGCTCCGCCACCGTACGGGTACAATGCTGCTACCCCACAACCGGCGATGTACGCCTACGCCGCGCAGCCGATGGCTGCACCCGCGAGGCATGGCGGAGGCATGGGGATGGGGCTGGGCCTAGGGCTCCTAGGCGGTGCGGTCGGCGGGATGATGCTCGGAGAGGCGATCGGTGACTATGAGACCGACGCCGCCTATGATGCCGGGTTCAACGATGCGTTGGCATTTTAGATCTTGCCGCGTGCAGTCATGGAGATTCTTGTCCTTGTAAATCTCTAATTCATACGAAACGATGAAATAGAATTTGCAAGTTTTGCTGCTCTTCTCAGTTTGCAAGGGTATATTACAATAATCTTTTCTAATGCGCATGCATTTGGGACGTAAGCTAACAAATGCTTTACACTAGATGCATCAATGACAAAACTACATGGGAATAACGTGGCCCTTCCCATGTATATGCAGTGACGTAGCTAGGATAAAGATCTAGTTCGATTCAATATAATTATTTTGTTGACAATATAAAGTCTGGTTTGACACGGCCACAAACATCTTCGTCTTCTTCCTATAAATAAACGGAAGAGCTCGAACCTATGAAACAGAAAATAATGGTTTCACTGAATCCTGATTCATTTTATTGAGAGAAATAAAAATGGCTCCTTGCTCTAGTGCATTAAAGAGCAGAAACTGAAGCCGGTCAGAGCTCTACCAAACAAGACTTAAATATAGCATATCATTGTGTAAATAAAGCTTTTGTTCACTAAGGCCCCGTTTAGTTCCCAAAAAATTTTGCATAGTAACTGTCACATCAAATCTTGCGGCACATGCATGGAGTACTAAATGTAGACGGAAAAAAAAAGCTTTTGTTCACGAAACTTTTGAACCTAATTAGTCCATAATTAGACACTAAGCTACAGTAGCGAAACCCAAAAAATTTTTAGTGTGGTACAATGTTTTGTATCCATATATAACATGAATTTTAGATGCAAAAAGTCCAGGCATGTAGGAACGACACCAACATAGTATATACAAAAAAAATAGCTTGTAGGAAGTGCACGTGCCCAATTTTAGATTTCGAATAGTAACCTCGGGCTTATAATATTGAGGTACAAAGTTTTGGTTTATGATTTGAAAGTGATGCTGTACGTACAACTTGATCCCAAATTTGGAAGGTTAGGATGCATAAAGTATTTAACCTATGATATGGATGTTTTTTAATTCAATTATAATGTTTGGAATCTATGTTTCAAATATTTGGGGTGCAGAAAGATTTATAGTTTTACTCGGGGAAGAGCTAGGATAGGTGGTGCCCGCGCTGCAGCAACCCCTAAGCCAATCGATACATAAGTAGCACCTCTGTTAATTAATCAATTAATAAAGGTGGGCTTTTTAAGGATCCATCTCTAGAAATCGATTAACAGAGTCGGATATGCTAAAGGTCCACTTTTAGAACTAGTTTCCTAAATAAAATCATAACTTTTTCCTATGAACTTAAATGAAGACAAATTTTATAGCACAATTGTAGAGATTGACATGATCTACAACTTTGTAGTTAATAAATTCTTGATTTGAAACTTTTTTCGATAAGGAAAGCTTTATTAATTTTAAGATCGTTACATCGAGATGATACAAAGACCTTGAAACACTTCTGGTCTCTGTATAACAAGGATACACACAGCTTTGCAAAAGATCTTAAAACAGAAAGACACACTAATAACACTCAATCCGAAGACTAGACTGCCACCCATGTGCCCGGGTAAAAAACTCTTTGGTCACCCACGCTAATTGTTGAGATGCCGCTACAACCAAATCTTGTGAAGTTGGCTTCTGTAGGATAGCCCATGTACGGAGCCAATATATAATCGAGTAGATAACCTGTAAAGGAGAAGAAGACGTTTCTTTTAAAAAACCAAGTCATTCCTATATAACCAAAGAGACCAGCACGTAGCTGCTGCTCCTAGCAAGGCTAACGATTTCAGTTCTTTACTTAAACCGCAGAGCCAAGAACCAAACATGCTTGATACACTATGCAGTTGAGACAAGCCTGAAGCCACCTAGATAATAGACCAGACAGCACGAGCGAAACGACACTAAAAAAAACAGGTGCTTAATTGTCTCATCTTTGTGACAAAAATAACACTGTTTGCTGCCATGCCAATTACGTTTAATTAAGTTGTCTTTGGTTAACACTACGCCTCTACGTAGGTACCATAGAAATATCTTGATCTTCAACGGAGCTTTTAGTTTCCACAAACCTTTATTAATATTAGGGACATCATTATAGATCATTGCCAGGTAATGAGATTTGACCGAGATCTGTCCATTAGGATGCAAGTTCCAGCAAAATTCATCTTCTTGTTGGCTTAACACAATATTCGTGATGCATGGAAGTAAATTGTTCCAAGCCACTAATTTGTATCCAATTGGATCTCTTCGCTAGGATAGAGTAGGTGGAGACGTGCTTAGCACTTCTGCTACAATAACCTGTTTATGCTAGGCTATGTTATAAAGGCAAGGATATTATTGACGCGGAGTTGACTGTCCTCCCCACCTATCTTCCCAGAATCTTACTTGTGATCCTTCCTGAATTATGAAGGTCCCAAAACATTGAAAATCTCGTTTAACCTTCATTAGGCTAGCCCAGGAATGCGAGTCCCCATTCTTCCATTGAACTTGAGAAAGAGGCTTAGATCCTAAATATTTTTTGCGTAGCATTTGTTGCCAAGTACCCTTAGTTGTGAGCAATTTGAAAAGCCACTTACTTAGAAGGGTTGTGTTCTTGATGTCTAAATTGTGAATTCCAAGCCCACCTTGGTTTTTAGGTTGGCATAATATGTCCCATTTGGCTAATCTGTATTTTCGTTTTTGTTCATCACTTTGCCAAAAAAATCTTGACCTGAAGTAGTCTAATTTCTTGAGAACTCCTTTTGGGATCGTAAAAAAGGACATCATATACATTGGTAAGCTGCTAAGCACTGAGTCAATCAGTGTCAAGCGCCCACCAGTTGACATATGTTTTCCTTTCTAGCTACTGAGTCTTTTTTCAAAACGTTATTCTACTCTTTTCCAATCTGCATTTGAGAGCCTCCTATAATGTATAGGTATGCCCAAATACCTCATTGGAAAAGCTCCTTTACAACCAAAAAGCTCTGTATATTGGGGCAAAGATTCTTGTGTTGCTCCAAAGCAGAATATTTCACTCTTGTGGAAGTTTATTTTAAGGCCTGAAAGTTGCTCGAATGCACAAAGTAATAACTTCATGTTGCGAGCCTTTTCGAGGTCATGGTCCATAAAGAGTAACGTATCATCAGCATACTGTAGAATAGATAAACCTTCATCAACTAGATGTGGCACTATTCCACTTATCTGATTATCTACTTTGGCTCTTTTAATTAGTATAGCTAGCATATCAGCTACAATGTTAAACAGAATGGGGGATAGTGGATCCCCCTATCGAAGGCCTTTTTTCTTTGAAAGTATGGTCCGACCTCATCATTAATATTGATTGCCACGCTTTCACCTGATATAAAAGCTTGCACCCAAGAGATTCACTTAGGAGAGAAACCTTTCATCCGCATTGTTTGCAGTAAGAAAGGCCATCTAACTTTGTCATAAGCCTTTTCGAAGTCTATTTTAAAAATAATTCAACTTTGCTTTTTACAATGCAACTCATGAATTGTCTCATGCAGAATGATGACTCCCTCGAGGATGTTGCGTTCTTGCATAAAGGCCGTTTGAGTTGGACCAACTATATGATCTGCTATTGAGTTAATTCTAATGGTTGCCGCTTTAGTGAAAATTTTGAAGCTAACATTTAGTAAGTAAATTGGTCGATATTGTTGAATTCTATTAGCTTCTTAGTTGAGGCTAAAGAGCGGCAAGGTTCCCGAGTGAAGATCATGGAACATTTGCATCAGGTCCACTTTGATGACATCCCAAAACTTTTGATAAAACTCAGCTGGGAAGCCATCTGGCCTGGTGCTTTATTGTGTTCCATCGCAAAAACTGCATCTTGAATCTTCTTTTCCGTAAAAGAAGCCGTTAGGAATTTGTTTTCAGCTTGGCTGACCTGAGGAATATCAACTTTTTGTGACTCATCTAAGATCATCGTATTATCTTGTGATGGTCCAAACAAGTCCTTGTAGGAACGTGTGATATAGTTCTTCAGGTTAGCCTGACCTTCTATTTTTCCATCTTCATGGTCTAGAGAGAAAATTCTTTTCTTCCTATGTTTACCGTTGGCAACCATTTGGAAGTAACGGGTGTTATTATCCCCAAGTAGAACAACAGTGACCTTTGCTCGTTGATAGAATTTTAAGTCTTCCTCTTGAAGGAGTTTAGTCAGAACGCTTCTAGCTTGATCAAGTTGACTTCTCTCATCCTTAGATAAGTCCTGATTTTCGGTGACAATATCAAGGTTATTGATGGTCGACTGAATGGTTGTTTTCTGTTGTTTATATACACCATTTGTGTGTGAGGCCCAACCTCGGAGATATTTGCGTAGCGCTCCTATTTTTTTATTCATCTCTGGACAGAATTTTGCCCCCTAACCGGCTTATTCCATATTTCTACAACTCGATCATAGAAATCCTCATGATAGAACTAGCTTAGTTCCATTTTAAATGGTTTTGCTATTCCCATGAAGGCTGGTGTTCCGGTGTTAAGTAGTAATGGCGTATGGTCAGAAACACCTCTATCAAGAGCATGTACAGTCACCAAAGGATATTTAACTTCACATTCAGTCGTCATTAAGACCCTATCAAGCTTTTCATAAGTGGGATGAGATAGAGAATTAGCCCAAGTGAAATGTCTACCTGTCAAATCAATTTCCCTAAGATCAAAGCTGTCAATGACAGCAATGAACAGGAAAGGCCAGCGGTCACTAAATCTATCATTATTCTTCTCTCTGCTATTTCTCATAATATTAAAATCCCCACCGATTAGAGTAGAAAGCGGGTTTTGTTGGCAAGCACGTACAAGTTCATTCAAGAAAGGTGTTTTCAACTCCTCATGAGCTGGACCATAGACTGCCATGAGTATCCAATTAAAATTATCTGATTTATTGCAGAGATGAAATTTGATGTAAAATTCCCCTTCTACAATTAATGATAGATCAAGAAACGAAGCATTGATGCCAAGGAGGATTCCTCCAGACCTCCCCCGAGGTGGTAGACAGTGCCAAATAAAATCTGCCCCTCCAGATGGTCGGGAGAGATTTGATTTAGACATGTCCTGCTTTCCTATTCCATGACAGCCATGAAATCAAGGTTATAATCTCGGATTGCTTCAGCTAAGTAGCGGTATTTAGCCAAGTCCGATAGACCTCTGCTATTCCAAAAGAAGCCTTTCATGGGAAAACTTTTTGTTGAGAACCTTTCTTGTGGCTTTTACGCTTTTTTGCTGCTATCTTAGATTTTCGATCAGTAACCATAAGGTCACAATTTTTTGTGTCCAGGTACAGATCATCCAAGCCTACATCAGTTATTTCCTTCACTAAGTGTTCGAGAAGGGTACCGTCATTTTCAGTATCCTCGTCGTCACTTGCCGCAAAGGGATTTTCACCTACTCCTAACCTTTTAGTCTCTTTTTGATTTGGCGTTACAGTTGTTCTATTGACTTCGACCCTCTTAGATGGACAAATTAATTGTATTACTATTGCTACCCAAAACCAAGCCTACATTGCTCAGGTTTGAAATGCATCTTTTTTGAGGTATAGACACAATAGAAATAGAAGATGGCTGCAACTTGGGCGTACCTGGGATCATGTTGGCTGAAGACATAGCCGAAAGTGGTGAGATCTGTCCCATTGGCTTGTCCTTTTTGGGGCCATCCATGTTCCTTGATGCTGCTCTTTTCATCGTCTTTGTTAATGTGTCCTCATCAGCTGCTACAACACCATCAGAAGATACGACATTAGATCATACACTGCGGCATTTACCTCCCAAAAAAATCGAGCCGGAAGATGACTCAAGATCTGTACCTTGGCATTTGTTCAATGGTGTATGTGGAGTAGCAGTTTTGTAGCCTAAGGTTGCTGTTGCAGATAGCGAAGCTGTCTGGCACGGTGAGCCCATGAGAAGCGTGGTGGTTTGTGACTCATCCACGTCTAATGGCAGCTGAGAATTATTGACAGCCCCAGTTTTCTCCTGCAGTGACATAGGAATCTGCATCGTTTCCCTTCCCCACTCTGAATTGCTCTGTGTTCTAGCCTGTTGAATGTTGAGTGACAGTAGGTACCGCTTCTGCTGTCCTAGCCAAAGAGCATCCCGTTTGGCCATCTGGCATAGGTGGAGTGTCTGACAATGGAATGTCAACTACAGCCCTGGTTCCCGAAGTTGATCTAATCAGATCACTCGTAGAAGCAGGCAAATTCTTCTTGAACGTGTTAGAATTCCTATTTGATCTAGGAGTACTATTTGGACTTGGAAGAGTGGTAGCAGCCATAGGTGTCACAGCAACAGGAGTTAGCTTGGCTAAATCTTCCCACTGTAAAGGATGCATTAGAGACCTCAATCGTTGAATACCAGAGGGTTAAATTGCAAGTTGGGCCTGCATAGGTGTCGGCCCATTGTTTTCAGTTCCGGTTGCAGATTTTGATCCACTTGCACCTTGGGTATTCTTGAATTTCTTGAGCACAATTTCTAGATCCTTTTCTACAGGCTTTTCTTTGTCCGCATCATTACCATCATGATCCATTGGATCTTGATCCCTCGGAGTCGGTGAAGATGGTACAAAATTTGTATCTTCTAATTTGTAAGTTATGTCATATCCTTCTATCCCAAAAACTAAATCAGTGGTGAAAGGAAGCTGATCTTTGTTCAGCACCCCAACCCGAACTCAGATGACCCCTTTTTCAGTAAGTGGACATATCTACCTCCTGCGTGGTGCCAATCACTGTACCTAGAGCCCGAAAAACAAGATAGTGCCTCCAAGCATGAGGGACACATGTGATGTGCACCCAAATTTCTTCCAACTGATAAATGGGTTTCACGTCATTAGAGATTTGCCATGCTGAAATAGTTAGCGTGACACCATGATTCTTTAGATGATAATCAATGGATGCCATCCGCTGCATCTCCTCATCTGACGGAAAGGCCACAAGGAATGAGTCCTCCTCATGGGGTAAAGCCTCCCATGTCCAATCTGCCTGTGAGATTTTGGCCAATTCAGACTCAACCACATCTGCTGAGAGTTTACTATCGGTCACCGTGACCAGTGCTGTAGGGTAGATCCGGTGTCTCTAAATTGTAATCAATATCAGGGATCCGCAAGAAACTAAATTCCTTCTTACCAGAGCCAATAAAAGTAGCATATGGTTGACATCTTCAAAATCGGACATTTCCATGATAGATGCGAATTCTTCTTATTACATATGATGCAATCAAGGTCAGCTTTGCACTCATCATTAGAATGTCCACTACATTTGCACCTCCAGCGGTAAGGTATTTTCTTTTTTGCCATACCAGATTCTATAGGCTGAGGTTGTTGTTGCTGGCTTCGAGCTGCACCCTGCATACTGGATTCGGCGGCGTCAGCTCCGACATGTTGACGTTGTGTCCCAGCGACCGGCTGATATTGTTGTTGTGACTCCCGTTGAGGTGCGCTGGGGCCATACCACGGCCCGCCCCTTCCATTGCCTCGACCATGAATGTGCCCATCTTCGCGTCCTCGACTTGGTCCTTCATGGTCACCACGACCTTTGCTCGGGCCTAGACCTCGCCCCCCATGGCGAAAGCGGTCGTTGATCCTGCCCCTCGAAGGCTCGTGATTGAACCTTGGAGTTGTGATTGAACCTGCTGGAGTTGTGGCAATTGGTGGGTGGCTGTCGTCCAGCCATGTCGGCGTACGAGGGTGTGGCGGCGGCGGCAGCGGCGGCGACGGCGACGGCGACGACAGTTGGATCAGGTCACGAGGCGGCATGCAAGAGAGGTCTCGATGCGATATTGCCGATCAGAGGGAATATCACATCGTATCTGGTAGCCTTACCATTCCTTTGATCGCTGGGCCCATGAGGCGACAGGTCCCACTAGGACCGGCCATATTGTTTTGCACGCTCGATTAAGACTGATTTACTCCAGCATTCAGAGATAGCTTTTGAATTTTGAAATGTCCATTGATCATGCTGTAAATTAGCTTGTGATCTGTCGATCCACACTAGTGGCATGAAAGTAGCCAATGTCACCGTCGCTGGCGAGCGCGGCCTCGGCAAAGGACCCTTCCATGGACGGATCGAGATTCCATGTTTTGGAACCATTCGTCCAAGAGGTCGAGTTGAAGTTTGATTCTTGGGTTCACGTTGAGCTGGCATAGCCAAGGCCTCAATACCCAAAGTGTTTTCATCCTGCGTTGGTGGGTGATGTTTATTTTCCCACCATCTTGTTTCTTTAGGAAAACCGATGTCAATCCAGAATTTTTCACGAATATCGTCGATAACAAAGCGGCTTTGCCAATCCTCTGTTCGTGGACGAAATCGCTAGCCTCTTGTGTGGAAAAACCTGCTAGGATTTCTTCGTGGTAGGTTTCCTCAGCATGATCGTATGCCTCATGAGCGGTAAGCCCGGCAAGGATCGCTGATTCTACGCAATCGGCATATCCTGAAGGGGAATTTGAAATCAAAACAGTCTCACCGTTTTTAGGCCCTTTCCCTTGAATTCATGTTGATGTTGTAGTTGCTTGGTGCATTATTGATTTCTTGAATCCCTGCAACACTATCGGCCTGAATCTTCAGTACGTCGACGTCGTCGATCATCCTTATTGTCTCCTCGGCATCTGACCTTGGCGCGATCGCAACGTCGTCGTTCCCATCCGCGTCCGCTTCGTCATCAGCCCCTCCTGAACCTGTATCACCATCGTCACGTACCTGATGCCTTGTCTCGCTGTCGATCGCCTCAGCGAAGGAGGACACTATTGCCCGATGTGGAACGAGGGTAAGGCGGCGCCGGCGTAGATCGCCATCTGGCCGCCTCGGAGGGCCCCTCGCCTCAAAAGATGCCTCCTCCTGAGAAAGGATGATGACAGGATCCTCCAAAGCAGGCGGTGAAGGACTGCCAGAGCTGAAGTCGATGTCCTGCATCTCGGAGATGGGAGCCTGATGCGCGTCGGATGTCGCGGCAGCCGTCGGAGCTGCAGGCTTTGCCGCATCCAGCACCGAGCAGGAGCGACGTCCACCTTCCAGTCCTTGTAACCCATCCTCTGAATGATGGCCCCCTGCCCCATCTTGTCGCTCGGCCTGCACCGAGATCAGACCTGCAGTAGGCGCCGAGCAGAAAAACACCGGACTAGAGAGGTCCGCTAGAACTGCAGCGGGCGCCGAGCAGATCACCGGACCAGCGAAGGAGGTCGCCGGTGGGGAATCGACGGGATCGACGGGATCTGGGGGCTTCGCTGGAGTGTCCGGTGAGTCGCCCCCAACGGTCATGTCGGTGAATGTTCCTCCAACAAGTGAGAGTCCAAAAGTTCTGTTTAAAGCTCTAAGATTTTGAATTTGGAAATTTAGAAATTTTCAAATATCTCAGATGTTGACACGGTGTACACAAAAGTGATAGATGTCGATACAATCTAAAACTTTGTAGTTAACAAGTTTCAAAGTTGAAGATTTAAATTCTTAAATTTCAAATGACATTGGACGTTGACATAATCTATACCATAGATGTCGTTGTAAACTTAATCTACAACTTTACAATTAAGAAGTTTTTTAATTGAAAATATTTATTATTCCAGATATATATTGTGTTTCAAAATTCTGAGATTTTGACATTTTCAAACTATCATGGTTGGGTAGACACCCTTTATCAAATCTATCTAGCTTGACAATATCTAAAACTTTGTAATTGAAACTTTTTTTATTTGAAACCACTCAGAGGCTGAAATATTCAATATAATTATTACCAAATGTTGATAAAGAAGATAGGTCAAGCAGCATATATACTCAGAAATGAGTATGTATTAAGGCGGTAGAGATGTGTTATATGCGCTGAAGGTTAAAAGAGACTATTTGATAAAGGCGGTTGGAGTCTATATGTAAATCAAAAAAACCTATATATCTCTAAAATTCTTCTGTACAGTAGCGTTAATTTTCATTTCTTTTCTCTGGGCTTGTACGACATGTGGAAGTAGACATGGCTGATTGATCATTCGGGTTCTATTTAGAAACAGACAAACAGTGAAACATGCGATAGATTGAATTTTATTTGTAAACGGAAATAAGACACTTGGGTCACGAGACCAGACTCACTGCACCAGAGTCACGTACGCCCACACCAGCACTACGGAATGTTGCCGCTGGCATACCCAAAATCCGGCGGCATGCCGGCCATCACCTTCTGCACCGACGGCCTAGCCAGCAGAGCATCCCACCACGCCTTGACGTGCGGGAACGCGTCCACCACGCCGGCGTACTCGGTGGCCATGAAGTAGCGCATGAAACCGAAGTGGCAGAGGTCGGCAGCGGTGATGTCGTCCCCGGCTAGGTACTTGCAGACTGACAGCCTCGCCTCATACACCGGCAGCAGCCTCCTCAGCTTCTCGAGGTTCTCGTCGATGACGGCCTGGTCGCGGTCGCGCCCGACGTACTGGCCGATGATGCAGTGCCGGATGATGGGCCACAGTGTGGCCTCGATGTTGTGGGCTTCCACCTCCATCCATACGTCCACCATTGCTGATCCCTCCAGGTCGCCTTCCTTGACAAGCTCCGGCTTGTACTTGCGAAGAACGTACCGTGCAATGGCGCGTGATTCTGGAATAAATTATATACGAGAAAATGTGATTAGAAACGCGATAGCCGATAGGAGAGAAAATTAACAGGAATAAACACAACAGGTCAAGGTAGCTTTATTACGGTAGAGCGTCAGATCACCGTCCTCCAGAACTGGGATTTCACCGAACGGCTGCAGAAGAGCGAACAGTTCGTTACTGCCAGCTAACCAAGCAAGTAGTACTCCTATATCTATCTATTCCCAAACTGAAATGGATGCGTACGTACGTTTCTGGCGAGGTGCTCTGGGCGGCGGTGGTCGCCGCCGCACCTGCTCATCGGGACGATCTCGTACTCCACGCCGGCCTCCTCGAGGCACACTAGCGCGCGCGCCATCCACGGCGACACGGCCCACCCATACACCTTCATTGGCGCCATTGCTGTGGTCTGAGCTTTGAGATGATCTGGTGCATACATGCGTATGGATAATGAATTTATACAGCTCCTTGGTCTGGACTACTTTTTCTCCGGTGATGTAAACTATTGCGATGGTGGATTAGTAGATTGGAGGCGGCTTGCTCTCGTGAGTTTGTTTTTAGTATGTAGGGTCCGAGCTAGGCGCATTTTCCATCATGTGCGTTTAGTTATTTTATTGTTACTATCGTAACAACCTCAATGGTGGCGGCAAACTCAGGTGCAGGTCCATCTGTATCGTCGTCATTGCTTACGCTCGCAGCGGATGCCAATTGCCAGCTTCTTGCAGGCGAAAGCGAGGACCCAAAATCCCGAATGGACTTGGTATTGGTCTAGCCCCCTTCGGCTTACTCAGAAACCGGTTTGTTTGGTTTGTTTTTTCAGTCGAAATAATATTTTTCTCTCACAATAATTCAGCCGAATAGTGTTTTTCAGCCAGTTTCAGCCAAATTTTAGCAAGCTGAACGGAGCACCCGTATTTTTTAAAAAAAAAGAAAAATAGTCATGCCACGTTATATACTCAAAGACCACCATGTTAGCTGAGTTGTTGGAGGTCCGCAAATTCAACCTCTAATGTTACGTTGTTCAGTTTACACCATTTATTACTGTTTTTTTTTAGGAAGCAAACCGGAGGGGGATGCCCTGCTGGTCTTTTACTGAAATATTTACAAGAGCAATCTAAAGAAACAAAAAAAAAACAAAGAGGAAAGAAAAATTATACAAAAGCATCATGATTCTTTCAATGGAAAATATTTCTTGTTTCCTCGCAGGATCACCCTGGCAAACTCGGTCTTAAAAGTTTCCTTGCAGTGTGCAAATGATAGCGGAAAAGTTTCCTTTGGCTCTGTTCCTTTCGCTGAAAAGACAAGTTGAAAAGTACCGTTTACTAATTTGTTGTGAGAGAAAAAACACTTTACCATGACTGATAAGCTAGACTGATAAATTCAAGAAAACAGGGCCTAAGTAAGATAATAATCTCCATAAAGGAAGGTACGTGTAACTGCGACTTGAAGGCATCCAGAATAGTATAATGATGAACTATGTTGACCGGAACTTGCAGATGTAGAAGAGTCCCCCGCATGCCTGTGCAAAAGGACAATGTAGGAAAAGATATTCCAGTCTGCTGTGGAACTGGTGCATAGAACACAGTCATGATTGCAGCGTCATGGTTCGCTGTTTCAAGACATTCCTTGTGCTAAGTCTGTCTTTTAAGAGAAGCCAAAAGAAGACGTTATGTTTGGTTTGATAGGAACATTTCCAAAGCTAATTAAACACTGACACTGGATATTCGAATGGTCAATTAGCACCTTATACACTTTGCTGTCTGAAAAATTGTGTGTGATCCCCAAATATAAGTCCACCAGTCATAATCAGTTGAAGTCTGAATAGCCCCTATAGAGCATTGACTGCAGATAATTAAGCAAATGTTGAGATGGGAAGATGAAACAAATGTAGGAGACTCGGGAGCTGCTGGACCTTCTGGAATGACTAATGAGACGGCTTTGTGCTTGGTGAAAGAGTAAAGTTCTGGATACGAAAACTTCGGTACCTGCTGCCCCCAAAGATCAACCCAGAAATTGCATGTTCAAACATCCTGTATATAGATTGCTGCTAATCCTTTGTAGGAATCTAAAATCTTTAATAAATCTCTCCATCAAAGGGAGCCCTTCAACACATGGTTTGGCAGTTTGTCAAATCGATAATATTTCTCCCAAACAAGGTTTACCCAAGGTATGTTCTCCCGATTAAAGAACTTGTGCCAATGCTTTAAGAGCATAGCTTCATTTTGGGTCTTCAGTTTTAGGATGCATGCCCCCTTCTGTCTTTGGTAGGCATACCATCTTCCATGTTGCTTTGGGTGGCTTCTTGGAATTTATATCAGTTTCTTTTCAAAGACGATAGTGCTTTCGAAACTTATCAATCTAGGTGTCATCATGTCTACTAAAATTGTTAATATATAGAAACTCACCCTCCACCTCCCCCAGTCAAAACCATCACCCCCAGAAGCGCTGATCTTGCCACCACCATGCTTGTTGCCAGCATATGATAAGAGAAGAGATGAACAAACTGCAATAGCTTACTAAATATCCCCAACCCCTCAGGTACAAAGTATTATAATAAGCACTAAACAGATCTACAACAACAACAAAAAACTTGCAAATGAATAGAAATTCCTCCAATGCCCCTTACATATTTATATCATTATGAGATTAGGACCAGTACAGAACTCTTGCTTGACTCAATCACCAATTAATCATGTGCATCATTTATCTACAATCAATCAATCCATGAGGGTGATCCTATCTTACACTAACTTTCTATGCAAAGGAAAATCCTAAAATCTTGACTCATGTGCAAAGGAAAATCCTATATTTTTTATGAAATGTCATTGTAGCAACTACTATCCCCTAATCCACAATTTTTTTTATGCCTGTCGTTCTCACTTGGGCTAATCTATACATATATAAATATATACACCTGTTTGTATGCTCTTTGTTTTGATCCATTGTCCCAAACCATCACCCCAAAATTATCAGTTTTTTTGGTCTATAAACGTGGATGCGTCTATAAACCAACTGTGACAAAATGAACTGTTGCAAACCAAAGATTGTGATGACTGAGTGGAACAAAGTGAAGTTGGATAAACGAACAGAGGTGCAATAATTACCTTGCAAGGTTGAAGCGTTCAAGAAGAAACTGGACACAACAACAAATGATCAGTATCTGTTCAAAAATTCCATTCAACAATATAAAATATGCAATAAAAAAGAGGAATGCAAAATTACTGGAACAACAAGAAAGGAAGGGTTGCAAGAGTATTATGCTATAGCACAAGAGGCACCATACTAATAAGAATCATCAGATATGACAATTACTACACTCTTCAAAAATTGAACCTGGTCAACTCTGGTCAACCACTGATGTTTTTCATTATTCTGTGATTCATTTGATAGTAATAACCCAAGCATTCTAGAATCTTATAGAGCACAAGATCAGCAGCAATGCATAGTCACTATGTTAGCGTCTGCAGGTGCAGAGTTCCTATTTAATTTCAACATACTATTTGCTTGTAAAAAGAGAATTGTTATGACAACCAACCTGGTAGGGCGCAAAAGTTGGCTGCTAACATCCTCTTGATGGCTGTGCTCTTGGTCCACCAGCTCCTTGTCGCTGCAATCTGTTTTCTGTTAGTTGATGGCTTGCTACAGATGGACACAAGACCATGAGTTGAGGTCTCAGTAAGGCTCAGCAGCTCAGCCTCCTTTTAATTTCTTTGAATTCAGTTCAACATTTCATCAGATGGAGAAAGGTCACTTATCAGCAGACCCTTTTTGCAGTATCGTAATGATGATCAGTGAGGCAAGAGCAGCAACTAAACTGAACATGAGGCATCCATTTTGTTGAATATCATCATTTTCCAAAAAAAAAAGGAATAGTATAATAAAAATAAAAAAATAGATTAGCCCTGAGCTCCTCCCCGTCGCCGCTCCGCTCTTCCCCCGCCCCTCGCGCCGCCGATGACCATGTTTGCCTCCGCTGATCTGCTTCCGACATGGATCTTCCTGGCCTTGATTGCCGGCCTGGGAGAGTGGTGGAGGCTGAGATTCGACGTCGCTTCAATTCTCCGGTCAGTTTTGATCCACCTGCCTCTACTCGAGAGTTCTTCCTCGTAGTCTCAGTTGGTCGGTGCAAATACCGCCTAACTGAATCCTCTGTGGCTTCCATTCTCCAATCTGTCATTGGAGGTCACCCTGAGGCTTTTCATGTTCATTCTCTGGATGATCGAGTTTTTTGTTTCTCTGTCCACTCTCAAGAAGTTGGCTTCCACATCCACCATTTGTGTTCTTATGAGTGCCTGAATTTCAAAATCTTTTTTCATCTTTGGAATAGAGGTGGACCTAATTTCCTTTTGGAGTACAAACGTTGGTTATATGAACAATCTTCTGAATGGGTCGAGGTCACCAAAGGAAATTCAAAACACATTCCTCTTTCTGGTGCAAATTTGACTCAACTTGGTGTTCATCGTGCTCATCATGGTCAACCAGACCGAGTTCATCGTGGTCAATCTAACCATGTTCATCGTGGTCAATGTAACACCCCAGGTGTTAGCCACTTGCTAAGCAGTGGGTTTGAGCGCAAACATGACATGTTAAATGGTAATCAGGAGCTTAAGTTCCTTATCTTTGAAGTGGTGATGGAAGTGCTGAGGTCAAATCTATGAAATTGAGTCATAACTTGAACTTGGACAATACACCTTGCTTACATGTTGATCTTTTTCAAATGTAGGCTTGAGTAATGTGGAAGGTGCCCCTTTTCATGTGCCTCACATCTATTTCCATCTACATTGACTATTGAAAAAGTTTCATGAAGTTGGGAGCCAAGAAGTCATATGAAATGATAAGTTATATTTTTGCTTAAATTGCTTCATTTAGCAAATGAAAACATGGGATGTTGACCAAACCTTGAAACCTTGCTCAAATAGCTCTAATTCAACTCATGAACAAAAGTAATGAAGGGTTCATGTTGAGCAAATATCAAGAAAATGCTTCAATGGATCAAAAAGGGTAATTTAAGCTTTATCGTGATGCTGCTTTGACCAAGATGAAGCAATGGTTTTTATACCAAATATGAAGTTTGACCTTTAATCAAAGTTGAAGTTTGAGTGGAGTACAATAAACTTTATTTTTGAACCAAGACCTGATTCAACTCCTAAGTGTCTAATACAGTGGTCTCAAGTTTGAATGCAGTGTTGTTTTGGCCCCTCTGAAATTTTTCTAAGTCCTCGATCAGTAGCAGCGTGATGGCAAGTTTGTGACATTTTATCTTCAAACTTTATATGGCAACTCAAGTGGGTTCCTTACTATGAGTTGAAGTACACTTTGTGTTGGAAACAACAAAATAAGTCTCATCACTTTTGGAGCACGTTTGGACTTTCAAAAGTTATTACAAGAACAACAAAAAGT